GTGCACGTGCGGAGCAGTGATATGGACATGACGGTGGTGAAACACGGCAAAGACATTGCGGTTCCATCAGACGGTTTGTTCCGGTTTAACATCGACGTTAACCATCAAGAAGGGTCGTCCGTGTCAGCCGGCGAGATGACGGAGTCGAGGGTGACGTGGAACGTGGTTTTCAGAGAATGGGAATCGGTCTTCACGATGACAGATTGCATCAGATCGCTGGAGAAGAGCAAGTGGTTTAGGGAGGAGCTTCCGGCGCCAGAGTACTGCATATTCAGCCGGGGAAGCGGTTTAGCGGCGGATGTGAATATGGAGTTAACCGGAGAAAACCAAGCGGTTAATATCGGTCTAGGGATAATGAACACGGTGGACTGGAGGTACCTGAACCTGGACGACGGCCTCAGATATCTTGAGCGTTTCCTTCTCCCACAAGGCAGAGAATGATCGGTTACTTGGCGGTCAAGAAATCTTGTAACTTTCTTTTTTCTGCTAGAGATTGTTTGTTCTTTTGTTCCCTCTTTTGCATCAAATAAATTTTTGTAAGATCAATCTTTTTTTTCCATTTCAGAATAATTCGATGTGTGCAATTACTCAGTTTTTCATATAGAGGATTTGATCATTCATGCATTCACATTTCACACATGTATTGTTTTTAACTAAATTAGATCAACAAATGCCCTCTGATTTCAAAATTACTAAATGTTTTGTTTATGAAAATCGTAAATAATCTATTTTTCGAAAGAAAATAAAAATAGCCTTGAGTTTGGATTATCATCTGTTTGTGATGTTGTATTTATGTGATCGTTAGGCTCTTCGTTTCCCATAAATTTACGAGTTCAATTTCTAAGACAATATTTTAACTGTTTAACAATATCTATTTTACGCACTTGAAATGATTGAGTATAGTTCTAATGCAATATTCATCAACATAAACGATCATACGTAGCGTATGTATATATAATTTTATTTTATTATTATATTATTTTAAGTATATTTAATTTTTTTATATGAATATTTGATAAAGTTTCTATTTTGATTTGAAAATTTGTTTAGTTTTCATATCTTTATTTCTTTGAATTAAAATTTTTGTATTTAATATGAAACTTTTGGTATAATTGAGTACTTCCCAAGTAATTCTCCTAAATTTTACGATATATCTCAATCTTTTATTTTATCAATAAAAGATTCTCTTTAAATTAAAAAAAAAAAGAAACAATTGAGGGAGAGATTGCACATAGTGGACACCATCGTAACAACCCTTGTAAGAAAAACATTATCTTTCATTTATCCACCAAATATGTTTCCTAATTAAACGGACGAATTTGACGATAATTATCACATACCACATGATCGCTTAAAACCCGACCCATTTGAATTTCGGATATCGATGTGTCCAATCTAACATTTACAATCGATCGAAAACCAAAAAGAAAATAACATTTTTGTAAGGATATACAAATATAATATTAATAGACAACTATATGGACAAAAATTTTCGATTCAGCAACATATATATATATATATATATATATATAGCACACACAGTAGTAGACTAATTGAGAGAAATCCAAGATTAATTGACTCAACACATAAAATAAAAATAGAATAAAATTTCTTTCGATTTAAATCTAAGTTTGTATTTGAGGAGAGATGTTCATTTAAATTTTTTTTCGATTTGTAAAATATAGCTGAAGTAAAGTTATGATAAACTTTCGAATTATAAAAAAAAACAATGGTGATGATTCATGAATATATATATATTATATATATATATATATATATATTTCTACAATATTTTGCCCTAAGGCTGCTCAACTTAGCTTTCACGCTTATTCACTATTCGCATGCTTCCCCTTTTTAGGGCACTCCCAGATGGCTCCAACACGCGTGCCTTTTTTTTCTAACTATATATATATTAATATTTTACCATTTTCCCAATTTTTTGTCGAGGGAAATTAATTTGCTTTCACTGATTTTTGTTACTTTGGGTTGACTAAATCTGCGTGGAATATGCATGGGAGTAATTTGAAAATATGAAAACAAAGAGTTACTGTGCTTATTGTGAGATTAAAAATGCATGAATCAAGCCCACGGTGGATTCCATCAATCAATTGGCAATTATTATTATTATTACTACGTTGGTAAGCGTAACACTAGTACGTTATTTGCGAGTTTACAATTTTAAAAAAATATTGATTGGTAGCTAATTAATTGTTCAAATTAAAATCTCTTAAATTTAAAATTTTAAAATTTAATGGCATATTTTCTTCAATAATTTAAATTCAAATACTCAACTTGGTCGGATCAAATGGGCGCGTCAACATACATAAGCAAAGAGTTTCAAATCAGATATTTCAAAATGATATCTAAATTAATTTCCGAATAATATTAATCCATATTAAATCTTTCATTTATTACCCAATAAAAATTTAAAATCGCATTGCACACCGAGTCCAACAACTGCCATGACAACACCGACAAACAAATAAAAAAAAGACAAAAAACAACAAAACAAAAACTCAGCTCAGTCGATAACTGTCCACGTCATGTCGTTTTCGAAAATCCAGTGGCAGACTTCGATTCGACCGGGACCCGACCCGAGTGCCACGAAAGCACCGTGTCCTGGGCCCCATGCTGACGTGTCAAGGTGACAGATTGCAACTCCTCTGTTGATCGTTTCTTTGCTTTCGGCCTCCAAAATATCAGCCTCGTACACTCTCACCTTGGGCACCGAGTGGCAGTAATAAAGCAAGTACGGGAACACACTCTGATGACATGAAACCGACCTCGTCACTTCTCCACCGTCGATTCCTTTGACTTTTCCGATCAAGACCTCCCGCGTTGACCCGTTCGTATTCTCTGTGCTCCGCACCGTAATATTCCTCCCGAGTGCTGACGTGGCAAAATCCACCATGTCCTCCGCGGATCCAACGCACCGTTTCGTCTCTCCCTCGCTCGGAGTCCTCTCGCACTCCCCAAGCGCGTCGGTTATCACGCGATCCATGTAGGACCCCTCAGGCGCGTGGAACAAGTCCCTCATCTCGGACAAACGAGCAGTGGCAAATGGTAATTTCACCGAAATGGGCCGGGGTAAAAACGACCTTTTAGGCATTTTGTCTCTGATATCCGGCATAACCATCACGTTCCCCTCCTTCAATTCCGACTCCCTGAAAAATTTACCCTTCTCGACCCATTTATTTACATTACTGCTGCCGTTAGCACCGATTTGTCTGTAATCGGTGAAAACGACGCCGTTTTTGGTGTAGTCTTTGAACGAGCGTTCCATGTTGTACGTCTTGAACGCAATCGCGGTTTTGCCAAACGCGGCTGTACCGTAATCTTTGAAGGAGCTGTTTCCTTTGTTAAATGTGTTGCCGTAGTTGATGAAACTCACTTTGCCGGAGTCAGATTTTCCTGCGTACGACGTGAACGAGTCGTCGCCGACGTTAGCGCCGTCACGGTAACTGGCGAAGCTGTCGATCGGAGATTTCCCGTTAACGCCGTAGCTCTTGAAAGTGTTGTGTGGGTTGTTGCCGGAATCTCCATAGCCCTTGAACGAGTCGTTCGACCCGTGACCCGACTCGCCGTAACCCGTGAAACTCGACCCGATAGTGTTCCCGCCTGGGCTGTAGCTGGTGAACTCGTTCGGGCCGAGTAGCGTTTTTGCTGTAGCTGGTGAACGATTCCTTGCCCGAGTTTGTCTCGCCGGCGTAGTTAGAGAAGGTCAGTTTGTGGGCTTTGCCGCCGGAGGTGTAGGAGGCGAACTGGAGATTCGGGACGTTGACTCGGTCGTCGTAGGAGGTGAACTCGCCCGAGCCACCGACGGCTCCAGCGGCGTAGCTGGTGAAGTTGGCGGAGGCGACATTTGCATCCTTGGCGTAGCTGGTGAAGCCCTCGCGGTGGTTGTGTGAGGCTCTGCTGTATTTCTTGAACGAGTCGTTGGGCGTGTTCGTCCCGTCCGAGTAGTTCTTGAACGAGTCGGCTCCATTGACTCGGCCCGAGCCGTATTCAGTGAAGCTTTTGCTGTTGTAGACGGCGAAGTCGGCGTCGCGGCCCTGAAGATCGGGCTGGTCTTGCTGTTCGCCGTCGGGAAAGCAAAAGAGCTCGGCTTTGGAACAGAAAGATGCGAGGTGGGTGGAGAGGGAGTCGAGGGCAGCGAACCGGGCTAGCCGGGCCGAGTCAACGGCGGTCAACGGAGACGATTTTGACAGGAGGAGGTCGGGGATGGGAAGAGGGTTGGAAATGTGGGTTTTCCAGTATCTCACGAGAGAGGCCTTAGGCGTAAACGGGTCGGGTCGGGTTTCGGTACACCAAACCTGCCATGGAAAATGGAGAAAAAGAAATGAACTATAGAAGACAAAAGAATGTAAATTCTATGTAAGCTAAAATGACAACGTGAGATACATGCAGATGGCAATTAAAAGAATCAATGCGACAAAGGAAACGAAACAACTTAGGGAAAG